AGTTCCTACTATCTCTGAATCAGCCCACATTCTCAGCCAGCCACACAACTTTGTCTGCAGATGGTTCCTCCTGATACCAGCTGAGCTACTAATCTTGAAAGTATTACTCTCTGAAGAGCAATTGTGCCTACTCTCTGCAGGTTATCTCATCAGTGTCCACAATGGCAGTGAGAAAACACTCCTTGTCAAAAACATTATATTATGGCTTGGTATAGTTGATGGTGGGGGAAGAGTCAAAGAAGGGAAATGTGTAGACTGAAAGGTGCAGGGCCAAGGTGAGAAATGAGAAAATTAAGAACATCGGAAAGCAGAACAGAGCTAGAGTGTTCAACTCCTTCAACCTGCTGTGTCATTCAAGATGATCATAGCATGAAGCGTCTGCAACCAAAATCACCATCTGCCATGGCAGGATTTGAACTCAGATCCACAGAACATTACCTGGGTGAGGTTGCAGACATGCTCACCGAGCCAGTGTGTTTGATTCCAGACGTTACATCGCCCTGCTAGGTAACATCGTCAGTGTGCCTCTGGTAAAGCGTCGGTGTTCTGTCCCACTTGTTATTTATATGCCTCGATTTGCTTCACCGGAGGCACACTGATGATGTTACCTAGCAGGGTGATGAAACGTCTGCAACCAAACTCACTGGCTCGATGAGCATGTCTGCAACCTCACCCAGGTAATGTTCTGTGAATCAGTGTTCAAATCCTGCAATGGCAGATGGTGGAATTTGATTTGAATAAAAATCTGGAACTAAGAGTCTAATGATAACTGTGAAACCAGTGTCGATTTTTTTTTTTTTGTGAAGAAAAGCATCTGGTTCACTAATGCTCTTTAGGGAAAGAAACTATCTAGTCCAGTCTACATGTGACTCCAGACCCAATGTGGAGTGGGCAATAAATACTGAGTGATGTCCATGTCCTGTGAATGAGTAAAAAATCTTCACTTAACGACCGCTTCCAGATTTTTCCAATGATTGATGTCAGGTTAACTGGCTTATGGTCCATTGTTTTCTCTCTTCCCTCCTTTTCGTGAATCAGTTGATGTTTGTTGACATCCATTTCTTTGGGACCATTATAAAATCTAGGAAGATCGGTGCTTTTAGAATTTGTAGATGTAGACCGTTAGTTCCTATGGATTTGTTAGTTTAATCCTTTCCACTTCTCCGGTATCTTTCTCCTGCTGATATTAATTCCTTCAGTCTTGGGAAGAGGATTTGATTGGGAAGGCATGTCAAGGGCTGTGTACACTGGTCTGTATTTGGATGCTAAGTGAGTAGTACAGACTATCATATTGATACAAAAAGATGTGTCAAGAGTCCACTGTTAATCATGATTTGTTGGCGGAGCATTCCCAATTCTTTCCGAAGCACTTAAAGAACAAATGATCATTTCCCAGCAGTCCTGTTCTCTGCTTTGTCTGTAGTTTCTGGCCAGTTGCTGAGACTATCTACAAACTGAATTAATAGTAAAGTGTGAGGGTTAAGGAAACAGCTCCTATTCAGCAGTGGGCACAAGTCCAAATCCACACACTTATCGTCATTATTCTGAAAGATGCATTCCCTTGAAGTACAATATAGCTAATTTATAGTAGTTAATAAATTTCCAGTCCCACAGGAACTGGGATCTCATTTCCATGCAGTTCTGATCAAATCCATCTTGAGCATTATGTCCAGTTCAGTTCAGATCAGACACACTTTGAACAGTCCAGTTCTGGCAACTGAGGCATGATGGAGAGAATTGCTGGAGGTGGTGTAGAGAGGGTATGCCACCAGGTGGAACCCCAGGGTCATGATGGGAGTTTAAAAAAAAGAGCTTGGATCTTTTTAACTTGGAAAGGAGCTGATTTTATGAAGAGATAGTAAGGTTCACTGGAAATGAGTAGCCCAAAGAATTATTTCAAATGAAATAGTAGGAGGAGTGTCATTCATAACTTTGGAGCTGATTACCACGGGTTTCTGTGGTCAATGCTTAGCACTGGACAATGGCAAGTGGTCAAACTTTTGGAATCATTTAAGAAAGAATTCAGTAAGCCAAAGGCAGGTTCTCTGAACCGTCAGTGGTAAGCCAGGAAACGATCAGCCTGTTTCCCTAACATCTGTTATTGGCAAAATACTGGAATTTATTTTTAAGCGAGGGTCTAGCAGGGCCCTCTGAACATTTTAATACAATTGGGGATGGTTTTGTGAAGGGGAAATCATGATTGACTAATTTATTTAAGTTCTTTGAAGAAGTAACAAGCAATGTAGATGAAGGTTAAACAGTGGAAGTGCTATACTTAAGATTTGCAGAAGACTTTTGACACGGTACCACTTTAAGAAAAAGTTACTGCACAAAGTGAGGGTTGGTGGTGGAGCTTGTGTAGATAATAGGAAGCAATAGACAGGCAGAGATAGGGTGAGTCTGTGACAGAGAAGCAGTGGGCAGGCTTTGGTTATTGAATGAGAAGTGAACTTTAGTGAAACATTTCAGATCCTGAGCTGCTGAAGGCTGGGTTTTGTGGGAGAGAGGACTCGGGGCTACAGTTTAAAACTAAAGGTTTTTAACATGAACTGAGAGCCGGCAATGAGGAGTTTGTAAATCTTTACATTCCCCGGGGGCGGGGGGCGGGGAGAGGGAGGGCCCGTGGGACCGGGGGCCGGGGGACGGGGGATGTGGGACCCGGACGAGTTCGAGCGGCAGTGGATGAGGGAGTTCCCGGGGGGAGAGACCCCGGTTCCCCGCCTCCAGCTGCACTCTGTGTCCGAGCTGGAGGCTGAGCTCCGGCGGAGTGAGGAGCGGCTCCGGGCCGGCCAGCAGCTCCTGGCACGGGAGAAGTTCAAAGTGATTTACCTGCAAACAGTGCTGGAGCGGCTGAGGCCCAGGCCCAGGCCCAGGCCCGGGCCCCAACCCCACAGTGAGGGGCAGGGGCACGGGGACACACCCCCGGGTCAGGGGGACAGACCCTTGGGTCATGAAGACAGACCCC